AGAGAGAGAGAGAGAGAGAGAGAGAGAGAGAGAGAGAGAGAGAGAGAGAGAGAGAGAGAGAGAGCGAGCACAATCCCTGCTTTAGTTGGGGCATTCAATCTGCTGGCAGCAGTGGGTGGGTGGGAGAGAGCCAACTGAGCAGCTGTTTTTTTTCCTCGGCCTCCCCATTCAAGCAGCACAGGCTCTGTGGAACAGCATGGGCTCTCACTTCTCCCTGGCGCAGCGGACTCTAGCTTCAGTCTGGGTATTTAAGCTGCTGGTGGTGGTAGCCACTTAATGATTGCCCCTTCCCCAACCAGCCAGCCTGCACTGCCCAACCTGCTCCCTGCTGGCTGGTGTAGGTGGGGAGGACAAGGAGAAAAACAGCTGCTCAGTTAGTGCTTCCCCCCTTCCAGCAGATTGAATGCCTCAATAGGGATTGCACACTCCCTCCCTCCCTCCCTCCCTCCCTCCCTCTCTCATACACCCCTCCTCTCTCTCATACACACACATACACACACACAGAGTTTGAAAAGTCCCCCCCCCCCATCTTGCTGCAGAGGTAGTTGAGGCACTTCAGAGCCTGGCTGGTGAGTGTTCCGTGAGACTACAGTAAAAAAAATAGTTCATATTTTCCAACTTCTCGCAAAAAAAAAAAAAAGATCTTGCAAGGTTGGAAGACTACTTTAGTTGCTCTGCACGTGGCGATGGAGAACTGGGCTTATGTGCACACACGCATGCCGGGATGGTGTGGGCCCAGCCAAAGTGACGTGGGCTGGACCCTTACAATTTCCAGGATGGTCATGCGGGCCATATTCAGCCTCATCATGGGCCGGATGTGGCCCTGAGTTTGACACCCCTGATGAAGGAGATGGTGAGTTGATTACCTAGAGACTTTGGTTGAGGAATGATATATTCCATGGGGGTGAATACCTGACATTTCTTATCATGGCCAACTGAAACATTTAGCATACCAGTATCCTTCAGAAAATAACATTCTGTGGGTCAGGTACATGGATTTATTCATTAATCTAAAATATTTCTGATTTTCTGAAGTATTAAATATTTTTATTTTTGATACTCTATAATGTTTGATATTAATGAGCAGAAATATCTGAAGAAATAACCTAGTAGTCCTTCACAAGATAAGTATTAATTTTCACTATTTCATTGTGTTCACATTTACCATCATACCAGGAAAAGTAAAACTAATCTTAACAATCAAAATTTGATTTTGTTAGCATCACTGCTCAGAGAGAGAAGCCAAAAGGTGTTATTTGGTTAAGGGTTGTGCAAACAAATTAAATATGAAAAAGCTCCTCTCATGTCAAGATGTTACGATATCTAAAGATAGAATAGAAGTTATTGATTAAATATATGGCATGCATAATTTTCAAAGTATTTATCACACTAGCTGTAACAATGTGGCTTTAAAAAGTTATTAATTTCTCTGCAAAGAAAGGTCAATAGGCTGATTTTATTGAAATCAATCTTCTACTTGTGAGAAAATTCTAAAATTGTGCTGCCATGAATCTGTAGGTCATTTGGACAGAATTACAGCAATAGGAGAAACCCAGAAACAGCTCGTAGCTGCAACAGTTTCCAGGAATGGTATTTTGAAAATGTGGGATTTGACTCTTGGCAAAGCGGTCTTCACTCTACATGAAATTGGGAAAAATATTAGTGATATCACGGTATGTTTGGACAACAGGCTGGTGGCTGTGTCTGACAAGACCACCATTAAAATTTGGGATCTTTCCTTGCAAAAAGTGGTGTACAGTTCTGGTGAGTTTTTGGATACACCAATACTAACCTCTTCAATGAATGGACAACTTCTGTTGGCTTTTTTTAGCGGGAACCACAAAATTCAGGTGAGTAAATTGTTTAGAAACTCAAAATATATATGCTCTGGTTCGACCTAGCTGGAAATATTTTTTGTCCTTTGCTCAGTTAATATGCATAATTGTAAAGAAACCACAAACAGATGATTTTGTTAGCATTGCTTCTCAGAGAAAGGAACCAAAATTTAAAATTTAGTTAAGAGAGTTGTGCAAACACATTAAATATAGAAAAAGCTCTTCCTATGTCAAGATACTTTGATAGTTTTCCAGGAATATTGGGGAAATAACCCAGTAGGCAGAAACCACTTTGTCTGCATATATTGTATAAAAAAAAAAATCTACTAATTTCAAAAGGAATTACGGTAAGTATTCCTTTTTTTGTGGATGTAGATAATCATATTAGGTAAATTGTTTGCTGTAGATTGTAGAAATGATATGTTTAAAAAATCATGCTTAATTAAAAAGGTTCTTACACAGGTGACCCTGCTTATTTGCAAGGTTCCATTCCAACCAAACCACAGGTGGGTTGCTACCGGTTCGCACTGGTCCGGCTAAATCGATAGTGATATTTTGGCCTTGGTCGCAGAACTGACAGCCACCCAGGCTGGCCACGCCCCCGAACTGGTTCTCCGGTCGCCTTTGACAGCATGGTTTTTAGTAATTTTTTCATGTTCTGTGCATGCGCAGAACAATTTACAGTCAACTGCCCACAAGCGTGCAGCAAAGCGAACTGGCAGCAACGCCGGCAGCAACCCACCCCTGAACCAAACTACTGGATTAAGACTACTCTAAAATAAAAAATTCTGTTCAATTGGCTCTGGTTCTTGGAGACTGGACATGTCCTTGCAATTATTTTAGAACCTTTTTCATAAGTGGTTTTCCACTGCCTCCTTCTTAGAGTTGAGAGAAGATCAACCAACTGGCTTTGTGCCAAGGCAGGACTTGAATTCAGGTCTCTGAGATTCTAGTCTAATGCCTAATACCACCACACCAAACTGGCTCTCACAGTACAAGAAATGCAATGTAAAATATATCTTACATATGTGTAAAAGTCTGCAGATGTATAAAATGCATTTAAAAACTCTATAAATACACCATACCATTACCCCTAGTTAGAAGAGCTGGTCTATATTTTCCAGCTGCAGATAATGAGACCCTAGAATAGATAATAACACTTTCCTGCATAACTAAATGTTTCCTTTTTATTTTTTCCTGTTATATTCTACAATGCAGGTTTTAAAAAGAAGAGGGAAAATATGGAGCTTTAAGTTGATATGAAATAGCTGTCAGCTGGTTCACTATTTATTTTCATCCCCAAATGTTTCAGGTTTTTGATCTTGTTCATTCATGCCAACTTCTCCATGAAGTCTACCTTTTTTCTGAAGAAGCTCCTCTGCACAAGACTCATTCTCTACTAGTATCAAAGAACTCAGTAAAAGATTATGTTCTATGTGCATATAGGTTAGTGTAACTGAACTTCATGCCAATAAATTGTAAAAAATGTCTACATAAAAATAAGCTATTGGTTCAGGAATTCTTGGTTTGCAGAATGAAGTAGATTCCATGAAGAAAAGCTCTATAGTTATGGCAAATTTAGCTTGACAATTGTTCAGGCACTACTTTATAATACAAGATGTTCTCAATTTATTCCTGCAATAATAAAGGTGAGATACAAACAAACAAGTGAATATCAGGACTGAATGCTGAATCCTGAGTTACAGTATATAGAATACTCTCCTTTGTCAGGAATTTCAGTTAAATAATAAAGGATTGCCATTAAGGGAGGCAGAATTATATAGCCGTATCCGAAATCATATAGCATGTACTAGAACCTGAAACTGGAAATAATTCAAGCCAAATGAACTTTCCAGACAATCAAATAAATATAGCTCTGAACAAGAGATATATGAAGTGGCAAATACTTTTGGGGGGCATATCAGTGACTTGCTTGGTTTTATGATTTGTGAGACTTCAAATATGGAGGCATATGAGATGAAGGAATTGCTGAAAAGGGCAAAGTGACCTGGCTCATTGGTTTAGAATTTGTTCTCTGTATCTTTTCTTATTGATGGCTCTGAAAATAAAGATTAAAAATATAGTGCTCAAAGTTACATTCTTAATGAGCCACACATACATTGGTGAATAAAAAGCCTTTTTTAAAGAATTGATTTTGCAATATGATGGTTTCCATCTGTATTTTTTCCTTTTTTTCTACAGAAGTGCAAGCGAAGCAATGGTTTTCAGTGGCAAAAAGGGAGAAGTAGTTGCTAAACTGAAAAGCCAGGAACCAATGGCTGCAGCTGAGGGGGTGGCTATCACTAAAGATTATTTTCTTGTGATCTTCAGGTAGTACCACCAAATTTACTTTCTCCTAGCTGGCTCTCTTTTTGTCACTTTGTCTCTTTCTCACATCCCTCAGTCAGCATAAAACCATATCAGCTTCAGATCTGCGGTCCCCATTAAGATCTTGATCCAGATTCTGTTACCTGTTTCAGGGCACTGAAGTCCCCTAGCCTTCCTCCTAGGTGACAAAGCCTAACAAAATTTATACACCTTGTGGCTGCCATTGAACGCTATCCGAATAATAAAAATACTCTTTATCATTGGTTCAGTTAAGACAATATAAGGCTACCTCACTCACGGACTAGGAACAAGATAAAAACAAATTAAGGGGACATCTATTTGACATACGGGGCATTTGAAGCCAATAGCTATTTGCCTAAATCCAAACTTGGAATAGAATCACACATTGGATTAAGAAATAATATTTGTTTGGTTTTGACATATGTTTTGTGAATAGTTAATTATGCCTATTTAATAAACCAAGACTAAACAAACTGTGCCCAATCACAATTTGTAGATTCAGCCATTGCATAATGCCAGACCTATACCAGATTCAGATTTTATGTAATGAAATTAGTTTTAAACACATATTTTTCATATTAAAGCTAGGTACTTATATTTTTCTTTGTTTACATGTAGTACTATTTTATTCTATAAATCTGTTTAGAGATACTCAGGAGTATCTATTAGTACATCTCATCTAAGACTAATTATCTTGTTATAGGTGCCCTTTCATACAAAAGCAAGAAATTGTTCTTATAGAGCTATACAATGTCCATACTTTTGCTTATGCTCATAGTCTGAAGGGATGCTGCAATGATTATATTCACACTTTTGCTGTCAATCATTTGGGATCTCATCTTGTAGCATTCAGTCCTATTCCAAATACTGGTACTACTGAGATTGTATCATGGAACTTGGAGTCTGAAGATCACAAACACTTGGCTAAATTTCCTTCAGTCCTTGTTGGTGGTAAGTATTTTTTCTTTGAATTTCAAACATATTTGTAGAGAAAGTGTATAATAATAACCCAGAAGTAAGAGGCTTTCCCATTCAGTAAGTAAACAAGAATATCAAAATATAAGGATGCCTGCTCCTTTCCATTCAGTCCTGTATTTGTTTTCACAAATTGTCATGGGTGGAGAGCTACAAAAAAAATCTACAAATCAGTTAAAAAAAAAGTATAGCCAGCCTAAAGCCATTATGAACATAAGGAGTAAAACACCTATGATGCTCACAGCTGACAAAAACATTTTCAGAATTTAAATAGACCTCAAGAGAACCAAAACTGGCTTTCTCCAGAGACTGCTAGTGCTAGTTTTAAATCCAAGTCTAGCACTCCTTCAAAAAATACAACACGTGTTTAATAAAAGAGCTAGAGCTCTTTGAAAAGAGCATTAACCCTACATGTTTAAGGAGATAGTGCCCAATACTTGAAGGGTAGAGGGCAAATCCATAGCAGCCTCAAGAAGCCAGTACGAGTTAGTCTGACCAAAGGTCCTGACCAGGGATGGGTTCCGGCAGTCACTATTGCTGGTTTGCTCATGGGTGCACCATGCACGCGTGCTTTATGCATGTGTTGCATGCTTGATGCACTCTGTGCACACATGCACAGTACAATAAAAATGTTCTGTGCATGCATAGAAGCAAAAAACAAGATGGCTGTGCCTATGGTGCCACCCAAAAAACTTTAAAATGGTTATCAGGACATCTTTATGCCAAGGTTTGTAAAATGCTAAGATAAGCCCTACAGTCCATCTCATCAGATGCCATTTTTAATGGATAGTTTCTTAAAGGTAGTTAGGAGAGTTTAAAAAGTGAAAATATCATTAAAATGTAACAAAAGCATAGTCAGTGGGAATATGGGCAACATTGCTTTATACAAAAACCATTTTCTTGTCTTCATTATTATCCTCTCGACTTTTTCAGTTTTGTCTACTATGTTCCACCATGCAGCTACCAATGTAATTGAAAGATTTAATAATAGATTACAAATAATCTAGTTAGTTCCATAGCTAGAGAATATATTGCCCAAGCGATAGATGAAATTTGGCATTTCCTTAATTGTAATGTTTTATACAGTTCACTTTTTTTCTTACTATGTTACTAATATCTTTTTCTTCCAAATATATCCTTTCTTTTAATAGCCTTGTATTTTAAAAAACTTCAGCAGAATTCTTAAAAATGTCTGTGTGCCAACATTGCACATGCAAGAATAGCCAACAATCTAAATTTTGCCCAATCATTGCCACACTATGAATTTTATATATAAACACACACCAAGAAAGTTTTGGATCATTTTCCTCAATAAATAAATAAATGTTTACTTAGTTTAGGACTTAGGCAGAATAGACCACATTTTAGATCACATTTATATAGAAATACTGAAAATTAAAAGGGCAAGAACACTTCTATTAGGCCAAAGCACTGCCCTTCCAGAACTTGGCAGACTCAAGTTTATGGTTTGGGACAAAATTATTCTAGATGTCAATTCTTATCCTTTTTAATGGTATTTTCACAAATGTCTTCCCTAGATCAGCTCCAGCTTTAACTGATATTTTTAAATGATCACACAAGCATTAATGAATGTTAAGATTTATTGAACAATGGCCAAAATGATCTTTTCTAATTATCATAATTCATGTACCTGTAGGTATATGCTCTGACCTTCGATATTGTTTAGCATTCTGTGATGGAGATAATTACCTTCGATCCTGGAACTTGGCTTCCAAGATCAATGACCAGTCTTTGACTGTCACTGCAAGCAACACAAAGAAAACAAACGGTATTCAGGATATTGTGACAATGAAAAACTATCCCAGGTAACCAAAATAGGCAGAATAGGAGGAAAGTTTATGTTAGAAATAAATTATGTGTACCACTTTGAGACCTGGAATATATTTTTCACCAATTCTAAAGGCAGGACAGAAGATTGAAACAGTCTATTCCCAACGTAACATTTCCATTTTGCTTGTATTTATAAGAAAAGCAAGATTGTGAAAAAACCAAAGGCTACAAAGGATGCTGTAGGACTGAGAAAAAAATAGAAATTGGACCTCCACAATATTTATGCATTTATACTAAGTGCCTCATTTATTCAATGTTTATGCATTGCTTTATTTATTTATAAATAAATAAATAAATAAATAAAATTTATAGGTCATCCAACTTACTTCAACATAACTCTTAATACTGGAGGACTATTATATTTAATTATGGTAATTTTATTTTATGCGGTGCTAAACAAGCCTGGAATAACAGCTCAAGGCTCTTAATGGGAACCTGTGAAATAGATATGTACAGAATTAAAAACATTGGAAGCATTTGACAAAATGCCTTTGCATATCAGAATTGAAGATAAGTATGGCATTACAGGCGAGGCATTGCATTTCAGAATTAGATGCTCATACTTCTGATTACATTCCTGGCAGTTGTCACAAAAAATAGAATAAATCTGAACCCAATTAACCTTCTGCCATATCATTCTTTTTGTAGAACATGCACCTTAGAGTTTACTGTATTCAAGCAACAACAATGTACATATGGAAATATATTTTCATTTTGACATTCAGTTTACCAGAACTGAACACCAGTTTTTCTCAAATAATGTAACTTTAATTTACATCATCTTGATTTCAGTAACAAAGATACATTGGATGTTGGAGAATTTTGGGGATCTTTTTGCTCGATTTGCTTTTCATCAGATGAGTGTTGTTTTGAATTCATAACTGCCTTCCTTGCCATCCACCATCACACAGATCTTTAGTTGTAGGGCCAAAATGAGGGCAAATACCCATTTAAGCTCTTGAGCTCTTGGAGGAAAGTTTGGACATAAATGCAGTGTGCAGCACATGATAAAGGAAGCAGGTGGGCATACAGCCGATCACACAGTTGTACATTCTGCAATTCTTAATCCTAATTGCATAGCTCAAAACAATCAACTATCCAATTTCCACCTAAAATCATATGTCTTTTTCTTTTTCTGCAGTAAAATATAATGGTAAGGAATAGTGTTTCACAAAGCAAATATATGGCAAATTACAAGAAACTTTTTTCTTGCCATTTTTTTAACAACAGAGAAATAACAATGTTTTGACATTTTTGCAATATAGCAATAACAAGATTATTTATATCTATCTTTCCAAAGGTATGCTGTGTGCCGAAACGTAAGTCCGGGAGGCATAGCAGTATGGAATATTGTAAAATCCAAGTGTAAACATAATGCTGTGCGGGTGGAAAGAGGGCTGGTAGAGAACACAGACATTGTACTGGCGAGAGACATGAAACTTTATATACTTACAGGCAAGGGAATAGCCTCATTTGCAGATCCTCCAAGATCAATTTTCCAGGTACCGAACACATTTTTTTCCTACTTATATAAATACTGACTCTTTGCTTTTCAGCCAATTTTATGAATGGTGAATTTATTAAGAAAAAGCTGAGTCTGATAAGGAAATGAGAACCTTAACCAAACTGTTGAGAAATAAAAGTATTAAAGGGTTTAAATATCTTTGAAGGAATTAATGGATTTAAGTCTAAATTTGTCAGTTAAATCTAGAAAATATGGGTAACCATCAGTTCATCTATTCCTCAATAATTGAGTGCCAGAAAGTTATTTTATAGGGAAAAATAGTGGATAGAAATACACTAAAATGTATATGTGGAATTAGGGATTGCCTAATTGTTATTATGTGTGTGGCAGGAGGGATTGTCAGGGAGGGGCCTAAGACCACCTAGTATGAGAACACCAGGAACATTTAGGGTTCCTACATGTGCATGTATTACAACTTGGCAGGTCTTTCTCTACCAAGCAGAAATAATATTTTATGCAATTCCAGACGCTGTTAGTTTATGATCTCCTGAAAAAGAAGTACATAAAGAAGCAGAGTGGGCTTTACATAATTCCTTGCCCAAATAACGAATACAAGATGCTAGAAGGAGGCATTCTACTTGGTCTTTCTGAGAACAGGTAACATTTTGCAACTATTGAAAAATCTCATATTTATATTACAGGTAGTCCTTATTTAGTTATCCCAACTGGGACAAGCATCTGAGTCATTAAGCCAGGGGTCCTCAAACTTTTTAAACAGGGGGCCGATTCCCGGTCCCTCAGACTGTTGGGGGGTGGGGGCAGACTGGCTAGGTGGTCATGTGACTGGGTGGGCATGGCCAATTTAGCAGTCCATTTTCCCTTTGTCCTTGCTGTACTTGCCCCTCCCCTCCCCACCCACCGGCCCAGGATCACATGAAAACATCATGAAAGGCTGTTTATAAAGCATTTTTAAAGACTTTTAAAACACTACTTTACAAGCTGGCAGCAGAGCTGCTTTTCAAGCCAGCAGCAGCCCCTCCCCTACTCACCCACTGGCCCTGGCTGCACTGGCGAGATCATCCCTCAGTCAGCTGGCCCACCCCTGCACTTCAGCCTTACCTTCAGCAGCAGTGGTGTGATCAGAAGTGCAGCTCAATGGGTGAAATAACTAACCAGAAGTGCAGCTGGAGTGGATGCTCACTGGAAGATTAAGCCAAAGGTGAGGGCCAGGGTACGGGGCTGAATTCCACCACTTCGCAGGCAGGATACTTTGCATTGGCAGGCTGTATCTGGCCCGCGGGCCATAGTTTGAGGATCTATGCATTCAGCAAAGCAGTCACTAAGTGAAATTGCAATTGTGCTTATGATCTGGACAGAAACTGCTTAACGTGGAAAGAAATTGCATTATTTACACCATCTATCACTATCACCAGTTTAGAATAGTTTTAAGGTTCAAACCTCAATCAATTAATCTTTTTAGAAAATTGTACTTTTTTGTGAATTGTAAAATCAGCGGAGTCAGTATAACATTGCAAAATCAGAAAGCTCAAGTCTGTTTTGAGACTGAAAATAAAAAATTAAACATGAAGTGGAAATTCTTGTGATAACATTTGGATTAATTTTAGCCAATAAATTTAGCAGAAATTTGTAAACCCAGGCATTTTATTTACTTTTGAACATACATTTTAGATTAAATTTATCTCCTATGCTTTATTGCAAATTAAATGTTTACTATATGTTAATAGAATTTCTAATAAAAATAGTACATTTTTGGTTGCTTTATCTGATTCTTATTGTATTTTCAGAGACCATTTTGTTACTTGGAACTTGGAGACAGGACTTATTATGGATCGATTAAGACCAGAATACAAAGAAAATTTTGTCTTGCAATCTATTCAACCCACAACCCATTCCTCATCCAAAGAAAACATGAAGAGACCTAAAGGAGTTTTGTATAAAGAAAAGACAGGTTTCAAATATTTAATTATAAAGCCAATTCTATGCAGTAATCAGTAACAATTGAAACATAAAACCATTCCTTGGTAAATTGGAGAAACCACAGAGAACCCACGATGTCAGGTTTATTATTTTTGTCTTTGCATTGTGGCTTGGATTCTGTTTGAAAGCTCACAAGAGTGCACCATTGTTCCATTTTATCCTCTGAATAATAATAACTGTTTCAGTTTTGTTGAAACAGAATGACTTGCTAAACACTATAATTCAGCTGGAGATTTGAACGTTGTGTTTCTGATCCAAATTCAATGCTTTACCTTTAACACTTTACAGCAGGGTGAGTGAATACTGGAGTTAGAGGTGAACTGAGGTTTTGAGATGCTTGGCAGGAGATCTTTTGGGCCACTGGTGAATTTATCACTTTTTAAAAACTGCTGATATGCCATTCAACATTGCTTGGCAGGCTACATGTTGTGTAGACATGCTTTATAGAAGTTCTTAATTTTTACTACATACTTAACATAACTTATTTAAAATAACTTATATTTTGAAGACATACAGAAACTTTCTACAACATCACCTTGTTCTTGGCCTGTGTGATCCATTTGACAATCATTTACATAAACAGTTAAAATGCAGAATAGATTTTTTTTTTAAATGCACCGGAGACCAATTTCTTGTTTGCCCAATCACATTTAGCCAATATCCTATCCTATCCTATCCTATCCTGTTGTTCTGTTCTGTTTTTATTCTCTCCTCTCCATTATTCTATTCTTATTATTCTATTCTAATGCTAAAACACCGGCCTCCTTGCTGTAGAGCAACTACTCTACCTAAGCTATGTGACTCTATTTCTGCGTTGGCAATGGAATTCCCCAGATTTATGGTTTCGGGGAACTAGTTTCTCTAGGAAAGGGGTGTGAAGGAGCATGTCAAAAATGCCAGTTTTTGACAAAAATGGCATAAATCGGTCAAATGACTTTGGGACGCTGCAAATAGCCATAAATGCAGGTCATTTTCTGAATGTCTGAAATGTGGTCATGTGACCAAATTTAGTATTAAGTTGTAATTACGTTTTGGGAAGTCCATTGTAATTCTGAATGGTTGCTAAGTGACCAAGTGTAAGTCTAGGACTATCTGTATTCACTATCTCTGCTTTGGGTTTGTACATTTTTAGTTTTAATCATCTTTATTTTAATGCTAATTTTTCTATTTTTAAATATCTGTTTTTACCTTTTTTCACCTTTTATTCCTTTTCAAAAATACATTTTTCTGGCTACTGTACACCATCCAGAATTACTACTCATGTTGTGGGTAGCTATATAAAATTGAAAAATAAATATTAATATTACATCTAGAAAAATGCAGCAAGGTAATGCATAAGAAAGAAAAACGTGAGAAGTGATCATGGTTTCAAATCTAAAACTTAGACTTCATCTATAGTGACTATATTGTTAAAATAAGTCTGGCAGCTAATAACTAAAATAAGAGTCAATCGACAATAATGACATAATGTAATATGTTGTTATGAAGTAGAGGTGCTTTTGGGAAGGCATTGAATCAAGCCAAAGACAGAGCCATTCTAAATTTAGGAGGCACTGTTATGCACTGAGGCTTCTGGCTAAGCAAAGGGGTGTCTTGGAAGGTTGTTTCTGGACAAGAGTGATAAATCTGATTGTAGCTCTAAGTCAAGTTAAAGAGTTGCATATTTGTAACCCATCAAGGTGATAGTTGTCCATGAGAAACTATAGGATTTTAAATTTTCATGTATTGTCTCACAGCAGAGACTGGAAGCTGTCAATTATAATTAAAGGGGCCACTTGAGGAAGCTTTCTGATTTTGCTAGATCCAGAAATGATTTTTTGGGGCCTCAGGCAGTCAATTTTATATAACCATAAAGAAATGCTTGAATCAGTTGAACTGTTTTTGGATATGCATTCTTGAGAAATGGGGACTATTCCACATCAATAACTCTTTCCTCAATTGTCTGACTGAGATGGTGGCAGGTACACCAGTTGCACATTTGCATGTAGCTGCTGTTGCATGGAAACAAAACTGCTTAGCGAATGCTGTAAAAACATTATGAAATGGTATATAAGTCTAAGTTCTATTGCTATTTATAACATGCTTTTTAGATTTTTTAAAATTTCCTCAGTCTAACCAACAATCTTACTTTTTCCTAGAAGTCTCCAAATACCAATGAAAGCCCAAGATTGCTTAATGTTTGACTCTGCTGAGACAAAATATAGCTGTTATAGTCATTTAAAATCACTATTCAAAATCACAAAAATTACTCATATTTCGTGTGTAATGCCATAGGTATTTTTTTTTACATATGCTTTTCTCTTAGCATTATGGCATCCCTGGGAAAAGCGAAATGAAACCAATACTGGAAAAAAAAGGAAAAAAGAAAAGGCATTAAAACTGGAGGTGGAGACCTTACAAAAACTAGCTAAAGAGAAGAACAATACTATTGATCAGTTCCTCCTGAGTGGCGATGAGAAGGTGAGTTGTACTTACCAAATCACCATTTATACGTATTTATACATTCTTATTTAAATGTTAACATGCTTAATATCCTACATATATTCTTTTGTTCTATAAATATGTTAAGATATAACTCATTTGACATTGCAACTTTTCAAAAGTTAAATAATTCAGATGCTGGTATCTTCCTGTTATGTGTGGCACAGATGACAGCAAGGTGTCTTGCACATCATACCAAGGTGCCATTTATATATATTTTTTAATTTCTACTTTGCCTTTATGCTTAAACAAGCAAGCAAGGCAAGTAACATTGAAAAATAAGAATTAATATAAAATTATTAACAGAACAGAAATGAACCATTGCACATTTTCTAAATGTAAGTAAAGTGGGATCCAAATGTGTTTTTAGAATACAGGTAGTCCTTGGGTTACAACCATTTGTCCAATGACCATTTGAATTACAGCGGTGCTAAACAGGGGAAGTATGTCCAGTTTTCAAAGTTTTGGCCATTGCAGCATTCCTAGTCATGGCGGCATAATCATTATTTGGATGTTTGGCAGCCAGCATGAAATTATGACAGTTGCAGCATCCGGCAGTCACATGATGGACATTTGTAAGCTTCCTTGCTGGCTTCCCATAAGCAAAGTCAATGGGATAGTCGCTAGGAGGTTACAAGTCCCCTAACACTGCACATTTTCTCCTGAGGAACACCCATGAGACATGAGAATGTCATATTTCAGAGCATTTGGCCCCTTGCCTGTACACAAAAGAATGCCCCTACCTGTTATTCCTAGTACCCACCCAGGGTCCTGCCTGCTTGTACTACATAGTCCCAATTTGCCCACCTTAGCTTGACCATTGGCCTGCTTGCCTATGATTGTTTCAAGGGCATAAGCAAGTGCTTCTGGATTCTTGCTTCTTCATACACCATATTTGATGGCAATGGGTACTACTGGGATTGCTGTTGCTATGCGATGGTCATATAACATCTTACTTTATGACTGCATCGCTTGACGATGAAAATTCCAGTCCAAATTACTGCAAATAAGGCAATTGCTCAATATGGGCTACCTGTATACTTAGTATTCAAGGATCCTTTAGTATAACAGTCTTAACTGCTACATTTTGCACCAATTGCAACTTCTGGATACTTTTCTGTACAGCCCAACATAGACCATATGCAGTCATTCTTTAGAGTTTAATTTAGTTTGTTTTAAAATGAAACCATATAATATCCCACTCATTATCGTAGCTATATAAATGTACTAAATATAAAAAAGTAAATAAAATATATTTTCATGTAAGTCCTGCTCATATATAAAGGAATTCTGTGTGAATAGAGTACTGTGCTAAAATGTTAGGCAATTGTGCAAAAATACTGTAAATTAAGAATGCTTTTAGAAATAAGTGTTAACAGTTTATTTTTATCAATTAACAAAATGGAAAGTAAATGAAATAATAGAAATCCAAGTCAAATCATTATTTGATATGACCACACTTCACCTTTAAAACAGTGTCATTTTTTACACTTGCACAAAGTCAAGGATTCTGTAGCATTAGAGTTAGGTTTACAATTAACCAATTATATCAAGCAGGTGCTAATGATCATCAATTTCCTATGTAGGGTAAAACAGTCAT